GTGTTGAATTTTGTGTGTATTTAATATTATAATATGATATATATATTATAATAATATATAAATATTATATATATAAAAATAATAATATATGTAAATATTATATATAATATAAATAATATATATTATATTATTATATAATATAAATAATATTATATTATATTATATTATTTTTATTATTATAATATATATTATATACGATATAAATATTATATATAATAATATATATAATATTTATTAGACGTAACAATATAATAGAGACGCGACAGAAAGACGATGTTCCAATAAATATATAATTATAACTGAATCATTAAAAAATGTACTACCATTTTCCTCAGTTTCCAAATTAAGAATAGAACTATTATTGGACAACTTTTTTACAGGATCCGATTATCAGCACGCGTGTTTAAACTTGTTATCACGTTGTAAGCAAGATATAATAACTTCCAGAATGTTCTCTTCTCTGCTTAACATTTATATCGCAAAAGTTTAGATTACACACCGGCGATAAAATATTCATCCCCGTTCAACGATTAACTTTGCAAACATCTCTGGAAGATGAATCTCTGCGATCCGCGTCATTTTCGAACGAAATTTGCCTTAAAATGTTCACGTCATAATGGAAAGGAAGCTCTCGCGAAATTATAATATTTCAAAATTGTTCTTGAAATATTGAAATTTATGCAGGGTGTACCACTTCGAGTACAAAATCGTGGCGTATCTTCTTCGTGAAAATTTCGTATCTCAAACACACACATTTTAATCATTCGAGATGATTATTTTCCAGTTCGAAGCGCCATCAATATTTTTCTGTCGTTGTCACCTTTTTCTAATACTTTCTACGATTATTAGACTGCGAATTTTTCTGCAAAATAGTTCTGTATTAATTACTAGACACAAGAGCTACGTAGATATCCGCGTCTTTGCTTAACGATTTTAATAAGTTGGCGATAAAGCAACGGTATTTCTAAGCTCTTCGAATGTTTCCACAGTTTTACGTTTCATCTTCCGATCGTTGTCCTAAATGCATAAAATCCGCAATTCGACAATTACCGTCACGAATCGATAACAGTTAATTTGCGTTTCGCGGAAAAATACCGGCGACCTGGAAAGTATTCGAAAAGAGTAATCACAAAAAGAAATGTTGCACGTAGATTCCTCCCTTTCGAAATAATCAAACTGCATTGAAAGATCTCTCGTGTCCTGGAAAACAAACGAGATGTTTGCGCACTCGACTTTCAGTGGAACACGCGTTGTGAAATTGTCTCGAGACGTTCATTCGTCGCAACACAATTAGAGTAAATTCTCCGTAATTGACGGTCAACTTGGAAACGAAAATTTACAATTTGAGAAGAAGTGGCTCGAATAATCGCACCCCCGCTTCCCGAATTGTCCATTTTCGTGCGCAATCTGAGCGTCAGTAAGGAAGACATTTCTATACAATAATGTCTCTCTAATTGACGTCCAGATTGATCACAAAAATGGACAATTTGGAAAGAGGAGACACGATTATTCGTGTCTTCCGGTTTGTTTTTACAGTTATAAATTGTCAACAATTATAAAAACGAGCCGCAAGACTCGGATAATCGTATCTCCTCTTCCCAAATTGTCCATTTTTGTGGACAATCTGAACGTCAGTAAGAGAGACATTTCTATACAGTAATGTCTCTCTAATTGACTCCCAGATTGCGCACAAAAATGGACAATTTTGGAAGAGGAGATACGATTATTCTAGCCTTGCGGTTTATTTTTAGTTATAGTTATAAATTGTCAACAATTATAAAAACAAACCGAAAGACTCGAATAATCGTATCTCCTCTTCCCAAATTGTCCATTTTTGTAGACAATCTGAACGTCAGTAAGAGAGACATTTCTATACATTAATGTCTCTCTAATTGACGTCCAGATTGATCACAAAAATGGACAATTTGGAAAGAGGAGACACGATTATTCGAGTCTTTCGGTTTGTTTTTATAGTTATAATTTGTCAACAATTATAAAAACGAGCCGCAAGTCTCGGATAATCGTATCTCCTCTTCCCAAATTGTCCATTTTTGTGGACGATCTGAACGTCAGTAAGACAGACATTACTATAATGCGTACTATAATTAATCACCGATCGTGCAAGTAAAATGGACCAATATTTGTACCCGTAGCACGAAACATTGCGTCCCGTAAAGATTAAGGTGCGCGTATGTTCAACGAGGTATCGACAGGTCCAAGTTTCCAAAGACCATTCGTCCGAGATCTCCGACAAGTTCGGGTGATTCCCGATGGCCGTGTAACTCGGTTGAGTTGTCCTAATATATCAGAAAGCTCTTAACGGTATTCGGCTGGCGAGTGAAAGCGACCGATTGCCAAATTCAGGAATCTTGGCTCCGAACGCTCCCTACCAACTTTCATTGGCGGAGGTCAAGACAAATAGCTCGAATCTCGACTTTCGACCCTAGCCCAATCCCCTTCCTCTGCCGTACACGTGTCGCGATACAGTTCGATCGCATTGTTCGTGTTATATATTAGGGCCGCCCACGCGACCCGCCCGAACGAATGCCAGATACTCGGGTAAAGATAATTTCCTGACGTCCCGATCGCGCTCCTGACCTTGGCCGTTCCTGCAGTCTGATCGATCGGAACGATCCCCTAATCTCCTTGTTATTCGAGTAACTCTGCTCGACGCTTTTTACTTACGGAAGAATTATTAGGTTGCTCCGAGACTTCTTTTTCCGATACACGCGCGCTCGACGTTGTTAGGCAACGTCGGCACACTTTTCTCTCGCAGAACTTTTATCTGCTTCGCTGTTGTATATCTTTGTCGTCGACCGATACACGTTCGTTATTACATAACAAAAAGTTTTGTTTCACTTCGCGCACGTTTCGAACGTACGTTATCCGATACCATATGCAACTGCGCATCATGATGCACACCTCTGTCCGTAGTTTATACGATATAAATTTAATACAAATTAGAAATAGATGCAAATAATTAATATTATTAATTATTATTATCCATTTAAATATTTATCAAACGCTTAGGTTGTATTGTATTATATTATATTATATTATATTATATTATATTATGTTATGTTATGTTATGTTATGTTATATTATATTATATTATATTATATTATATTATATACAGGGTATCCCGAAAATGTCTCGCAATCTGGAAGAGGATGATTCCTGAGGTGATTTGAAGCAACTTTTTCCTTTGCGAAAATGCGATCCGCGGCTTGGTTTTCGAGTTATTAGCGAAAAACGGTGGCCAATGAGAGGCGAGCTCTCGGCTGGCGCTCGGCGACCCGGCCAACGAGCGCACGCAGCTCAGTTCCGCTCATTGGCTCGGCCGTCTCGCGCCAACTGATCTCGCGTCTCTCATTGGTCACCGTTTTTCGTTAATAACTCGCAAAGGAAGCCGCGGATTGCATTTTCGCTAAGGAAAAAGTTGCTTCAAATAACCCCAGGAATCTCCCATTTCAGGATTGCGAGACATTTTTGGGACACCCTGTATATTCTTTAATATGGTACGAAGTAAACGCAAAAGTCGTAATAATATTCATTAATGATTTAACAACTCTTTTCGCGTAACTATCTTAATTGAGGAAACGTCCACGAACTTATGGACGGGGGTGTGCATCTGTGCGATGAGAAAAAGAAAGCAAGATGAAAGGAAAATACATGAAAAGAGAGTAGGAGAAGCAGAAGCAAAATACGATGGTATTACAGACGTGTGACTTTTTATGTCAATGTTCTATAATTCTTCGAGCTTCCGTTTATTTAACCGAATCGCTTGCTTGAACAAATCCTCTGTATTCGGGTTAAAATACGAGCTATTGAAAGATAGATCATTATAATAGCTGGTACACCGCGCGCATCGAGTCTGTTTTATTCGATTCATTTGCAAAAGTCTACAATTTCAGAAGCAGAAGCAAAATACAATGATATTACAGACGTGTGACTTTTTCTGTCAATGTTCTATAATTCTTCGAGCTTCCGTTTATTTAACCGAATCGCTTGCTTGAACAAACCCTCCGTATTCGCATTAAAATTCGAGCTATTGAAAGACAGATCATTATAGTAGCTGGCACACCGCGCGCATCGAGTCTGTTCTATTCGATTAATTTTCAAAAGTCTACAATTTCGAACTGTCGCACTCTTATCTAAGAACATCGTGCTCTCTTTGCAGACCTGCATGTTGCTGGACATATTCTGCGGCACGGACATCTTGTCGGAATGGGCAGTGGTATGGCTAGGCCTGCCTATCATGGCGCACAGCGGGGTGAACCCGTGGATCTACGCGTTCCACCATGGTGAGATGAGGGTGGCCGCCGGAAAGATCACGAAAGAATTGGTGGCACTGTTCGGCGTGACTCCCAGCAGGACCGGTTGTTCTCCGCTGAGACGAGGATCGGACACGAACATGGAGTTGGCGGAGGTGAACAGCCACGACGGGAGAAGGTATCCGGGGGAGAATCGTTTCGCGGCGAAGCAAAACGGCGGCCTGTACACGAGCAGACGAGGCTTGAACGTTTCCGGAAGGCACACGGACATCTCTCCGGAGGCGAACCTCGATCAAACGTCCTGCGGTAGCAGGCAGGTGGACATCGTCGAGGAAGACATCCACGATCTGGCGAAGATGCTCGATCTGAAGTACATAATCGATCGCAACCTCATGATCGACTCGAACCACAACATCGACAAGGTGAAGAACCTCAAGTATCTTCTGGACCCGACGTTCAACAAGATCAGGCACCTGAGACGGCTGAACCATAAGAGATTCACCAGCAAGAACTTCTCGAAGCCGTCCGAGCCGAAGTTCACCTCTTATCAGAACCTGAAGACCGACGGGACCTTTACCCGGAAGCCGTTGCAGATGAATACGATGTCGGACCCGGTTCTTAGCGCCGACAGCCCTATGGTACACGCCAAGGACTTTCACGACGCTCTTGCCGCGTCTAATAGCAAGCGAAGGAACTCGAACTTGTGCTCCATGTCCGATCCGAACATCAAGGCGGCCACTGGACAGTCCGAGATAAATCTGAGGCTTCCGGCCACCGGCCACGTCGTTGATACCCACAGGTAGGAATCGCGGCTTATATTAACCCTTTCGGTGCGAGCGCCGGATATATCCGGCGTCCATCTAGTCACCTGTGTGGCCGAGCGCCGGTTTTTGGTGTCCCAAAATTATGGTATTTCCGGGGAATGAGGGGTTCCTAAGTTTATTTGAAGCAACTTTTTCCTTAGCGAAAATATTCTACGAGGCTTCGTTCACGAGTTATTAACGAAAAACAGTGACCAATGAGAGGCGAGCTCGATCGGCGCGAGGCGGCCGAGCCGACGAGCGCGCGACGCCCAGATCCGCTGATTGGCTCGGCTGCCTTGCGCCAACCGAGCTCGTCTTCGATTGGTCAGTGTTTTTCGTTAATAACTCGTGAACGAAGTCTCGTAGAACATTTTCGCTAAGGAAAAAGTTGCTTCAAATGATCTTAGGAACCGATGAGTGCCGAATACATCTGGCATCCATGTGAGCCATGTTTCTGACATATTAAAAATTATTCTAATAACTGTTCAAATCCTAATCGCGATCGCGCTGTTCAGATCCTGTGTCGCGATCAAACTTTAGTGACGCGCGTACATCGCATAGCTGCTTTTTCGTTCGTTTTTGTTTCCTTTTTGTTTTGTTTGTCAATCTTGACGAGCGCTATCGTGCCGCCTTCATTCTCTTCGCAATCAATTAAGACAAGCGCGCTATCACGCTGTTCGGCATTTTTCGACCGTGTTTTTCTGAATAATCCCTGAGACTCAAACGGATAAAGTCTTTTCTTACAAGGATACCGAAAAAACAGCTACATGTATAATCGTCGTATGATCTGAATCGATTTAAAAAATTTGAGGTTACATTTTCGTTCGAAACTTGTTCATAGTTTTTAACATATTGTAGGCTCATCACAGAATGTTTATAGGAAACAAAAGATTTAGAAACGAATTAAGCACAGTTATTACTTGACGCTTAAGAAAATCTTCATACGAAAAAAGTGGACCGACCCTGTGCTATGTGCGCATCTTCGGCGCGGCACCCTGTACGGTGGGACTGTCACGGCGGACAGCGCGCTCGTACCGAAAGGGTTAAAAGTTAGAATCCCTAAAGGATAGTTCCGAATCTGCTGAAAACTATCGCTCTCCTTTACCGAAGCATCTATCGAACGTGATAGATCTATCTGTAAGTCCAACTATTGGGTTGACAACTAAGTAATCGCCGATTTGTTCAATGAAATAAAAAAATTATTTTTACTTGGAACGAAGTTTAATCTGTAATGTATTTTCCATTTTGTTCGATGACCCTTTGCCATCTCTCTGACAACTTGAAAATTCCACGCTCGTAGAAAGTCTGATCCTTTTCGGCCGAAAACTGAGTTAAGCGAGATTTTACAGCGTCATCATCGTTAAAAGTTTTACCACGAAGGGAGTTGTCCAGGGATCGAAATAAGTGGTAATCCGATGGCGCGAGATCAGGGCTATATGGTGGGTGTAACATCGATTCCCAACCAATATCCATCAATTTTTGCCGAGTGGACAAAGACGTGTGCGGCCTAGCATTGTCCTGCTGGAAAATGACACCTTTACGATCGACCACTTCTGGTCGCTTCTCCTTGACCGCTGCATTCAATTTGTCCAGTTGCTAACATTCATGGATAATAAAAAATAACATAATAATAATTTTATAATAGAACATTTACGGATATCATAAAAATGGGGGTGAGAGACATCTATAACTGAAATCGGCAATTACTTAGTTGCCAACCCAATACTTGTTACTTTGCACCATAAATGATTGATCCACGCTCTCAGGTACTCGGTGCAGAATCTGGACCACAACAGGAGCGAGGGTGGCCTGGCCAAGCAAGCGATGCTGTCGCGGCAGCTGGAGAGTCACAGGAGGTTCCAGATCTTCCCTCGGCCGCGAGTAAAAATCAACACCTTCGGCCGAACGAGTCCGAACCTGAGCTTAAGGCTCCAACAAAGCTACACGTCGCCCACCACGCCGGAGAGCGTCGGCTCCAGCATGTTCGACAGTCCGAAGCAAAGAGTGTCCCCCAGACACATGGTGATCACTCCCAACAGACTGGCGAACCTGGCTCATCTGGACAGCTCGGCGCGATGCTTGGAGTCGAGCATCGACCAAGCAGCCAGGATACTGCAGGCCAGAAGGAACATCGAGATACTGCGACATTCCGAGTCGATCAACGTGATGGAGCCTCAGGCGAGGCTGCTGGAGCCTTACAGGCTCGTAGACACGCTGGCAGTGCCGACGATACACTCGGAGCCACCCAGCCCCATAGATCCTCTTCCCCTGGCATCGTTGGCGGAGGAATCCACGAAGCTCGAAACATCGAATCCGTGCATCAACCTGGAGCGTGCTAAATCCCCGATGGGCAACAGGAGGAGCCCGGTGAGGAACTCGGACCCTGTGATCCCGTCGGTCTTGCTGAACATAGAGGATTACAGCGACGATTGTAAACAAACTGACAAGTCCAGCCGAGACGGCTTCCCGATCAAGATGCCGACGAACGGCGGTGCCCAGCCCTCGATAGAGCCCATAGACCTCTTCGAAGCTCTGATCAAGAACTCGGATCCGATCTTCGCCGAGCACGACTCGACGAGGTTCAGCTCGAGGAGGCCGTCGGACTCGAAGTGGTCCGAGTCCTCCAGGAGCCAGGAGATCCTGTCCAACGTGACGGAGCACCAAGCGTTCCCTTCCTCCTACTCGGTGAACAACTTCCAGGTCTGCAACAGCGGCAGCGATCTGAACGATCTGACCTCCCTGGACCCGTTCATGTGTCCCGACCCGCTCACCTCGTCGCTGAGAGAGTCCTTCTTCACGTCGTTCGAGGAGAACGAGGAGTCGATCCTCACGCCGGATTCCGAGCAGAATTCCTCGCCCTACGAGCCCGCGGCCACGATGAACCTGAAGAGGAACGATGCCTGCCAACAGAGCAGATCCACGGAGTCAGTGTTCCGCAACAGGTGCTTGTCCACCATACTGCGGCTAAAACCGTCCCTACATCGAAGCATACCCCGGGTCAGACCGAGCACGGACTATATCCTGAAAGACACCGCCAAGAAGGATCAAAGGCTGGCTCCTCTCGCCTCGCCAACGCCGACAGAGATCTGCACGCCAACGTTCGAGTTCGTGTCGGAGATCAAGAGCGACAGCGGCGTTGGTGTTAGGGTATAGGTATTCCGGGCTTCGAGGGTTTTGGGAATGTATTCTGTACAGGGTGGTTCAATTGGACGAGATAATTGTCCGAACGTCGAGCCTGGTTGCGACGATCAGAGATAAAGAGGATTTCGTATGCCGGAAGCGTACTTTTTCGGTCACTGTCGGATGTTGGGTCTGCCTTGACACTATGCCGTCCGGTGGCACCACGCTGGTGCCATGCAAAAACTATCTGTTGTATGCCGGTGGTACCACTTTGGTGCCATTTTAAAAAACTGAAATAACATTTGAACTATATTTCTTGGGTGTTAAAAGGCAGCAAACTAACTATAGCATCGTGCTTGTTTAACTAAGAATTAACTACGAAAATTCTTCGGTGACTTATCTCAATTTTAGGAATTTATATTACCGCCATCTTCGAAATTTTTGTTAAAATCTAACATTTCCAAGCTATTATACAGGCGTCAAGCAAAAGAATCGTATCTAAGATCTGCGGACGGCATAGTGTTAACACGTTGAATGTCACAGGGATCACCGGTGACCGGCGCTTAACTTGGCGGTGACGGTATGGAGGCCACCGGTGACCGGCGCGCCCAAATTGATAGAAATATTAGGTCTACCGGAAAGTTCTGTCTGATAATGCCATTGCAAATTTCAATAGATATGCACATATTCACATATTTTTTGCCATCACGCTGGCAAGAGGTCGTGAGTAACGACGGAAATTATATTGTACAATAAATATTACTAAATTTATGAAAAATCTATTATTTCCTTTCATTTCTCACAGAGCTTTCCGGTAGACCTAATATACAGGGTGCCCAAAAATGTCTCGTAATAAGGAAATGGGTTCCTCGGATCATTTGAAGCAGCTTCTTCCTTTACAAAAATTTTCTCCGAGACACCGTTAACGAGTTATTAACGAAAAACAGTGACCAATAAGAATCGAGTACGGCTGACGCGAGGCGGCCCAGCCAACCAGCGCGCGAAGCCCAGTTCCGCTCATTGGCTCGGTCGCCTCGCGCCAGCTGAGCTCGCCTCTCATTGGTCACTGTTCTTCGTTGATAACTCGTTAACGGTGCCTCGAAGAAACTTTTTGTAAAGAAAAAAGTTGCTTCAAATGACCCGAGGAACCCGCCACTTTCGGATTGGGAGACATTTTTGGGACACTCTGTATATAATTTAAAACAAATGTCAATATCTAAAATTTTGTATTATTACCATGGTCGATTCAAACAGTGACCCCTGTCGCAATTAACATGTCAAGCATGGTTATACACTGTAACTTATCTATCGCAGATAATATTTCAACATCATATGTATCACACAAAAAAGAAAATTCATCGTGGCGCCACGAATAATTTCTGTGAAACCGGCGTGGCATTCAACGTGTTAATATTTTCTGCGCGTTCTTGTCGAGAAATAGCGAAACTCCTCTTGATTATTTATACATTACCGGATAATGTATTATACAGCGAATTTGAAGCATTCGTGACAACAGAATCTTGTTAGACAGTGTATCAGACTGTGAAGAGAGAAGAACCTCGAAATATTGAGACACTCTGTTTCTAACATATCGTATTATTGAAACATTTTCGTTCGAAAAATGTTTGTTTCTGGCAATTGATTTGCAGAAGTTTTATTTTGCACGAGGATAAACCGTCTGCAGAAAAGTCTTCGATTCATGAGACTGAACTACCAATCGGGTCTCACTTCGCATATCCATGCTCGACGTTGAAGTAAGCGCAAAATGATGACGCTGGTCTAAAAATATTCTTTGCAGCATCGCATGTTCGAAGGGCGTACGAAACGCGTTGTATATCGTCGCGACCGAAGAAAATCATTAGACGCCTTTCCCTATTGAACCACTCCGTATCGATACATGCGTGATCGAGTTCGACGATCCCTTTGCTCGCAACTATAGTTCTGTTCTCGTCTATATATTTTCCAACAGTCTGCTGGAAATTGTCTGCCAGATCGAAAGACGCTGAACTATTCGCGCTCGCACGCTGGCCTGTGATAGTACGACGTGTCTTCGGACGAATCATTGTTGTCGTAGACCGCCGTTGGTCGACCCTCCGACACCTCATCGCGTCTAGAAGCCACGAAGAGGTTGCTCGGGAGCTGATGGAATTCTCTGTCGGCGCGAAGCTGCGCCATAGCCGCGCATAATAGGCGTACTTAACCGAAAAGATTCAGAAGCAGAAGCAGACTGGACGATCGCGTATGCATGGACACAGGGAGAATCGTGTGTCGCGACACGATTTGCTTATTATCCGAGTGCTGCGTCAGCTGCAGTCTCTCGGAGGATGCAGGCTTGCGGACGCAAGGATGCTCGCGTCGGAAACTGTGCCAAGCGAGTTCTTCGAGACCGAAGCATTTTCCGAGGAGCGCATGAAAATGTAAACTGTATTAACGTTCGTGTACCTGATTACCGTCGACGACTCGCAGGCGAACAAAGTTCGCTAACAAGGGGAGGTCCCTACGGGTGACTGCTTGATGTTAAAGTTGTTAACAAAAGGCCAGAAAGACGTACTGGATTACGCCGCGAGGCACCGTGCGGCAAGAGGCGGCGGGCGCGGCGCCGCGCGTCGCGTTCTGGCAGGCCGGATCGAGCCCCCCACCTTTCCCACTCCCTAATATTTGCTGGTACCGGTACCAGCACGATACCAGAAACCTTACGGAGTGGGCAAAGGTGGGGAGGCTCGATCTGGTCTACCAGAACGCGGCGCCCCCCCCCCTCCCTCTCTTACCGCACGGTGCCATGTGCCATAATCCAGCGCGTCTCTCTGGCCTTTCGTTAACAACTTTGACGTTAAATATCTCGAAAACTGTAAGCCGTCTGCCCCCAAAACCCGGTATCATTGGATTCAGCTTTACAAGCTCTATCGCTGTACCGAATCTCATTGAAATGTGAACGTCACCCCTGGAGACCTCCCCTTGTAAGAGCGTAGCTGTTCGTGTTTCTGTTTCCCGTGGGACTTCGTAGAACGAGAGGCGTCGAGACGACACCCGACTTTCGCATAGTCAACGAATCTTGTCCCTAGCGTTGGTCCGCGTTTCGTTCCACGTCTACACCTTTGCTAGTCATATCTGGTTCGATCGTCCTCTCGCACGGTGGCCTGGAAACCCGTTTCCCGTCGTCGAAATGACTCCAGCGTCATTCAGACATCGGCTAGAGTATCGGGAAGTCGAAAATCTATATCAAACGTCGAGGCGAAACCGAATCTCTTAAAAGAATATTTTATATTATATTATACTTTACAGTATACTTTGCGTGTCGCTTTTGGTAATTGTTTGAGCATCCGTACAAAACAAGTCCCATGTTTATAACTTTCAATAATTCGTTTAAAGCTCTTCCGAATGTTCAGATTGTTACAGACGTTGCGGCATTTGTACTTGAAATAAATAATTCTTAGGCACTAATGAAGTACGCCGATTAATACAGGGTGTCCCAAAGATGTCTCGCAATCCGAAAGTACGGGATTCCTGAAGTGAAGCAACTTTTTCCTTAGCGAAAATGCAATCCGCGGCTTCGTTTACGAGTTATTAACGAAAAACAGTGACCAATCGGAGGCGAGATCATTTGGCGCGAGACGGCCGAGCCAATGAGCGGAACTGGGCTCCGTGCACTCGTTGGCTGTGCCGCCGCGCACCAGCCGAGCTCCCCTCTTATTGGTCAGCGTTTTTCGTTAATAACTCGTAAACGAAGCCTCGGAGAAAATTTTCGCAAAGGAAAAAGTTGCTTCAAATCACCTCAGGAACCTTCCATTTCCGGATTGCGAGACATTTTCGGGACACTCTGTATATCTGAATCATTCGTTCATGCTGTGTAACGTGTTCTTGGAATACATTCGTTTCACTTTGCATTTCTGAATTTCGCATTCGGAGTATGTAATGTCTTCGTATGCATGATCTTACGAAATGTGGAACTTCGAGAATCCAATTTTGGAGACGACAAACGGGTTTCCGGCTCACTGTGTGTCGGTTGGGTTCCCAGACGACGCCACCTGAAATTCGAGCGAACAACTCGCGCGGTTGAATTTCCGCAGATTTTCAGATCGCTGTCGCGTGAACCGCCGACGTATTTACGCGGGGAATGTAGATACTTTAATGTAAAATAATAATAACAATAACAATAATAATATTAATATTATATTAATAATAATAATAATAATAATAATAACAATAATAATAATAATTGTCTCCGGTAGGTCTTGATTGTTCGACTCGAGAACTGCGCTAGGAGGACGGAGTTTATTTAAAGACAGTGTACATTAGAGGGAACGTAAGGACCAAACAATGACATTCGATTCTCGCTGGGCGTCGCCAGTCTTTCGTTCGTAGCTCTTAACGATTAGTTAGAAACGGTTCTCACTGTCCTTACTGTGGCTGATCAAATTGTTACGGATACATAGTAATTATTTAGAATTTTTATGAAGGAATAAATTAAAAGTGGTCACCTATATTTCATTGCAATACATATTATTGCGTTATTGTAAACTCGATCTTTCGTACAGAATCGGTTATTCATAAGCAGACTGCGGATTTTATGCGTTCACGATTAAAACGATTACGTGAATTACAAAACTGCGCGGACGTCAGCAATATTTCATGGTGCCGCGATATTATCTCGAGTTCAAATTGTTCGATGAAGAAATCATTTCGACTTCTACTTGTCAATTTTGACTTGAGAAATTTGTAATTTGCGCGAACATCCTCGATCCAGCATAAATCTTAGCTTCAATGATCGGATGAAACCGAAATAAAATGAAATCGTCCGACTACCAAAGATACGGAAGAGAACGTAACACACAGAATTTGTCCAGCTATTCGTGATAATTTGATTAACCACTGTGCATTCTTTCGTTTTCGAATACTCGGAAATAGCTCCGACAGTTTGCTAGTCCCGATCCGTGAAAGATAACATTTCCGGGCCACGCAGGACGGCCCTGCGAACCACTCAATGCCAATTAAAACTACTTTTATACATAAGTTCATAGGTAGATCGTCCCGTGAAAAAATGAAAATTATTTTTCTCGTACGTCCGCGGTATTTTTTCAAAGCGAGCCTACCTTTCTGCGCTCACCTGTGTGGATGCGTGTGCGTGAACGATTGTCAGAGCGTCTCAGAACATATTGCGCGCCGTTGCATTGCATTCGCGGTGGCACTTTTAATTTTCGAAGAACATTTTGCCATTTTCATTTCGAAGAACTGTGATCCGAAGAATACAACGTTTAAATTTATTGTACAAGAACT